GCGGGTGGGCAGACGTGGGGATCCCTCCGTGGCCCGCGCGGGGGCGGGTGCTGTCCCCGGGCCCCGCGGGGTCCACGGGCCCCTTTCATCGGGCACGTCCCAGCCGGGCTGGCCCATGGTGGAAATGCAAATCTAATTAGCCTGGCATTGAGCCCGTCGTAAAAGCATTAACAGAGCCTTAAACTGTGCTGTTGACGGTGCTGAGGAGACGCCTCAGAAAGGGAACCGGGTGGTGACAAAGCCTCAATTTATTAGTCTCCTCCGGAGGGGCCGGGCAGGGGACGTTAATTACCTTAATGGGACTTATTTTGCTTCGTTGCCCAAAGTAATTCATTTATTACCCTCTCCTTTCCGGGGGGCCGTGGGGGGGCCAGCCTTGCCCCAGGCGCTGCCCTTCTGCCCAGCTGCCTGCAGGGTCCAGCCCACAGGTCGCCACTGCCCGGTAGGGGGGCGCCTGCGGGGTGGGGGTGGGGGCGGCCAGGCACCCAGAATCCGGCTGGGAAACCAGCAACCCCGGCCCCTCCTCCCCGAAGCACTGACCAGGCCCTGGGAGAGGGCAGCAAGGGGGGCGTCCAGCGTGCTAGAGGTCTGGGGGTCCAGGAGGTGCCCCTCATGCTTGGAGACTTCCGGGGGCAGGTGGAGGTTGGGCGGCCCCCCAGGGCCAGGCCCCAGGTGTGTGCAGGAGGCCTGGGAAGGGACCCTTGGCTTCAGGGCCCGGAGAGGGTGCTGGGCAAGTCTGGGGGGGGTGGCGGGGGGGGGCTCAGCCCCTCCCCCACGAGCCTGCCACAGGCCTCCCCAGACAGGCTCTGGGGGCGGGGCTCCACTGTTCTCCCCCACACGGCCCACAGCACCGCGGGCAGGGTCAGAGGCCAGCCTCCCTGCATGGACATGAGCCTGCCCCCTCTCTGCCCAGGGAGCCCAGCACTGCCAGCACGGACCCCTCAACCCCTCAGCTCTCCCCAACCCCCAGGGCTGCACCAGGGGCTCGGGGAACCTCGAGGGGCCCAGTGCTCGCGCCTTGGGCCCCCCGCCCCGCCCACTGTGGGAGGGAGGGCGGACCAGGCACAGCCTGGCAGTGGGGCCCGGCCTAGAGGTGGGGGGGATGAGGGGTCCCGGCCCATCCCTGCCTGCCCCGGGGGCCCAGACTCAGCCCCCAGGTGCCCGGCTCTGCCCGTGGGCCACGTCCTCCCATCCTGCCCGCCCACCCCATGCCGAAGAGCTTGTCAGAACCGGCCCAGCCTCCACCCAGGAATCAGTCTGGCAGGCTTGGGGAGGGCAGAGTTTGGCCTGGGGGGTCGCTTGCCTTCCTGCCGTCCTTGTTCATGGGGGCACTCGGGGACACCCGGTGGGGTCCTCGTCCTGCTCAGATGCAGACAGCTCTGTCACCCCACTTCCAGGGGGTGAGGTGGGGTCACGCTCTCGTCATCCCACGCGGGCACCCGGGAAGCCGTTTCAGGGAGACGCGGGTGCCCGCAGGCTGCTGGGGCCGTCACCGCACTCAGCCCTCCCGTTACCTGCGGGGCCTGGTCTGGCCGCTCCATTCCCAGCCTGTCTCGGATATTCTTAATATTATTCTTGAATAACCTCAGCTGGGTCTGTCCTAGTTATTCTGTGACGAGCTGCTTCTGGGCTCCCTTTAGGGGTGTCGGCTGTCGGGGGCCAGGTGTGCCCTACATGGGGACGGAACTGCAGGGCAGGCCCACAGTGGCCCCACCGTCCCCCTTGTCCTGCGGGCAAGGTCTGCGCTCAAGCGACAGGGACGGGCCCAGAAGCCCCCTCCAGACCCTATCGGGAGGTGGAACATGGCCCCGGGGCAGCCGGTCGACCAGGGGAGTGGCCGTATCGGGCCCGACTCACGGCAGGCCGGGACGTGGCAGGCCCGTGTGGACGGGGTGGTGGCGTGCGCGTCCCCCGTGGGCTCCTGGGAGCAGGTGACGAGGGCTGCAGGGTGAGGTCAGACACAGAGGGGCTGCAGGGCAGGGCTGCATGGGCGGGTTTGCCCCAGGGACCGGGGTTCACATCCAAGGGCAGAACGTCCGGCACAGCCCCTGGCGTGCAGTGGGGAGGCACGAAGGTCGTCCCCCGGGCCAGCGCCCCCACCCCCGGCCACCGCAGCCGTATTTGCTCCCCGCTGGGCCCCACTGAACGGAGGGGCCCCTCGCCCGCCCGGAGGCCCCGGATTCGCGATCTCCACCAGGAGCGAGCCCTGCGCCGAGCGAGTGTTTTTCCGAGTCTTTTGAGTTGATTATATGTTTTTCTTACTTATTCTGTTGATGTGGTGAATTAGGCTGATTGATTTTTACATGTTAAACCAAGCTTGAATAACTGGATTAAGCGGCCCTGGGCCCTGGGCCCTCCACAGGACGCCGGGATCCACTTGCTGGCGGGCGGGCCAGGTGTCTGCTGGAGGCCCGACGGACGGACCGCGTGACCTTCAGACACTGCCTGACCTTTCTCCCCAAACAGCTCCTGCCGGCCCCAGGCGGACTTTATGCTGATCCATAAAAACCCGGGGGCCGGGGGGGAGTGTCTAAAAATTAGTTTCATCTGTTCCTTGGATGTTTAAAAGAATTTGCTGCTGGGTCGTGGAGACTTAAAGATTCTTTGTTATTGTTGGGGGGGTTATGGGGGTGAGTCCCACCGACTCTGTGCTCAGGGCTGACTCCCAGCTCTGTGCTCGGGGCTGACTCCCGGCTCTGTGCCTGGGGCTGACTCCCGGCTCTGTGCTCAGGGCTGACTCCCGGCTCTGTGCTCGGGGCTCACTCCTGGCAGCCCTTGACCTGCTGTACTATTGCTCCAGCCCGAGACTTGGAGGGTTTAGCGGGGAGAATATTATTGAAATTCGGATTTTTTTTTTCCTTCCTGGGTCTGCTTTAGAGATGGTGCTTTTAAAGAAATGGATCCTTTGATTAAACTCTCAAAATTATATGCGTGTGTGTAATGTCCTCAGAATAGGGGCTTTGCTGCCCGGCCTCTCCCCGTGCCGGAGCCTGGCCTCGCCCCTCGGTGCACAGAAAGGGCCTCTGGCGAGCGTCCCCCAGACTCCTTGGGGCCTTGTCGCTGCCCCCGATGGAGCGTTGCCTCCTTGTTTCCTTGACTCCGGCCCTTCGTTATCTCTCTGGCTGCTCCCTTTGGGGTGCAGCCCGTGGTTGTTCTTTTTGCTTCTCCCTGACGGGGAGGGCCGACGGTCGGGTGCGGGTGCGTCTCCTCTGAGAACCCGTTTCCGGGCAGGTTGGCTTGGGGGCTGCTGGGAGGCTGTTGGATACACCGGGGACTCAGAACACAGGCGGCACTGGGGGGGACACTGCGCCGCCGAGTCAGCCCTAAAGGACCAGGACAGGCCACCGTCACCTCAGACGTGGGATGGGGAAAATGCAGCCAAGGAGCTAGAGGACAAGGCCACGGAACCAGAGTCAGCCTCGGAACTGAGCTCACCGGGGCGGAGGGCGCACGGGTGGGGTCCCCGGGACGGCGGTCGAAGGAGGCCGTCACTTGGCAGCGGGCGGTGCCGCAGGACACTGTCCTCAGTGGCAAGATGATTGATCCCAATGTGACGACATGCGTGTTCACGCTCACGCGAGCTCGGACAAGGGCTGGGGTTCCGTGTCACCGCCGCGTCCCTCCCTCTGGGCTCCGTGTGGCCTGCCCCCCACTCTCGGGGCCGCCCACCCCTGCTGCTCCAAGCCGCTTCACCGTTTCCCTGCCGGGGTCTTTCTCTGTGAGTGGCTCCGCCTTTCTTCTGGTTTCTAGAAACTTCTGTGGCGTGCAGTGAACGGCCTCAGCTTTATGGTTAAGGCCCCCCCTTAGCCGCCGTTTGCTCCTGAGGCTGAGGCAGCATTTGGGGGCTGGGCTAGCTGCTAATGGATGGTCTCGGCACACCACACAGCCCCCCAAAGTACCCCGGGAGCCCCGTATCCCCCTGTGCCATCCCGGAGCCTCCCAACACCAGCTTCCCCGGCCCGGGCCACACGGAGCGAGCCCCACACAGGACGGGCTCAGCTCCTCTGGACGGGCCACCGTGGGGCAGTTCCTGGGCGGGGGTTCGGGGCCCACCCATGTCCGGCCCTTGCTGCTGGCTCTCGTGGGCACCAAGAACACTCCTGCCCCCCAACAAGAGTCTCCATCTGGGCGGGGGCAGCACACCCCAACTCTGTCCCAGCCCAAGCACCGCTGTGCACGAAGGGGTCACACCGTCAGATCTACCGTCTTGTTTCCCCTGCTCAGGGGTCCGGGGTATTTTTAAAAATCCGAGAAGCGGGACTGGAGCAATAGCACAGCAGGTAGGGCGTTTGCCTTGCACGCAGCCAACATGGCCGACCCGGGTTCGATTCCCAGCACCCCATATGGTCCCCTGAGCACCGCCAGGAGCAATTCCTGAGTGCGTGAGCCAGGAGTAACCCCTGAGCATCACCGGGTGTGACCCAAAAGGCAAAAAAAAAAAAAAAAGTCGAGAAGCCCTCAGCCCCCCGCCACGGGCCCTGCCTCTGCGCCGCAGGAGGGGGTGTGGGCAGCCCGGCGCAGGGCCCCCAACCTGGCTCAGCCTGAACCCTGACCCCCCACACACACACCCAGCTCCCCCCAGGGTGCTCATGCACAGCTTATGCACCACCAGCACCCGCCCCAGAGCCTCCACCACCCCCGGGAGCTCCGGCCACACTTCAGGGGACAGTGCCCCAAAGGAGGTTCACTTCTGGGGGGTCCCCCTTCATCAGGACCTTGAGCCCTCAGGTTCTGGCTGTTTCTGCAGCTCGTACCTCAGACTAGACTGAGCCCAGCTCTGGGAGGGGGCGGCGGGTGGGGGGTTGAGAACGTGCAGCCCCTCCTGGCCACTCAAGCCTGCACAGCCTGACACAGCCCACTCTCCTGCTGGCGTCTCAGTCTCACACACGTATGGGGTGCGGTGGAGAGAAGGTGGCCCCCACATTCAGAGCGTCTGGCCCCAGGGGCGGGGAGGGCCGGAAGCGGAAGCATGGGCCAGGCTGACAGTGCTCTCCTCTCAGGCTGCGCGAGCATCACCGAGCCACCATCAAGGTCATCCGCCGCATGCAGTACTTCGTAGCCAAGAAGAGGTTCCAGGTGAGCACGGAGCCGGCACCCCCGGGGGCGGAGTGGGGGGTCTCCTGGCTGCCCCAGCTTGGGGAGATGACGGGGGGGGGGGGTCAGTCACATCCCTGCCTCTGGCCCTGGGCGGGCGTCTCCCCTCCGGCCCGCTCTGGGCGCTCCCACCCATGCAGAGGCAGAGGGCTCCCCGAAAGGCCAGGAGGAGGGGCCCTGACCCGCATGGTCCCACCGCGCCCGGCTCACCGGGCCCCGGGTGCAGACACGGCAGGTTTGTGTCTGCTCGGAGGAGCCAGTGTGTCCAGCCCCGCTTGGCCTCGGACGGACGCCGTGTCCATGGTCTGTCTGGCCGGCGGCTTTATCTGGCTCATCTCGGCTCCTGTGGAAATGGCCCCGGGATGGAGCCGAGGGTCTGCACTGCCTCCGCCCCCCTCAGCCACTTGAGAGGGGCCTCCAGGGTGCGGGCAGGCCTGGGGCAGCCCGAGATAAGTCTCGGGGGCCTGGACCTCACCTCGGGGAAAGGCAGCCCCGTCAGCACGCTCACGCCCGCACGGACAGCAGCTACGCACACACGGACACACGCACAGCCACGCGGTCACACACATGTGCGGCCATGCACACGGACACGCTCACGTGGCCACACAGTCACAGTCACAGCCGCACATGCTTGAGGACACGCACACATGCACCACGTCCACGCATGTGTGCGGTCACACAAAGGCAGCTCCACATAGCAACATACTTGCGACACATATGCAATGCCACCAAGTGCAGCCACATACACATACGGTCACGCAGACATGTCCACACACAGCTGCAGCCACGTGGGTGCCAGCACACCCCCACGCGCCATCCCACGCGCACTCTCACCCAGGTCCCCCAGCCCGGGAAGGTGCACCCAGGCGGGCACAGGGTGTTGCCGCTGTGGGGTGAGGGGGAGGGGGGGAGGGGCAGGGAGCTCCACTCTCCGTGCTCCTGGCTGGCTCCTGCCACACGCCCCTCCTGCGGGCCCGGGAACAGGTGGGGGGTGGGGGAAACTGAGGCCCGAAGGGGCCCAGCATCGAGCCCAGAGCCGTATCTCCGGCAGCAAGCACGGAAACCGTACGACGTGCGCGACGTCATCGAGCAGTACTCCCAGGGCCACCTCAACCTCATGGTGCGCATCAAGGAGCTGCAGAGAAGGTGGGTGGGCCCCGGGGGTGGGGCACAGCTGGGCTGAGCGGGGAGAGGCGGTGTTCGCAGGGCTGGGGTGTGTGTGATTGGGTGTGGGCGGGGCATGAGTGAGTGGGGTGGGGCGGGGCCTGGTGGTGTGGGCGGGGCGTGAGGGTGTGGGCGGGGCATAAATGTGAGTGAGGTGGGGCGGGGCTTGAGTGTGGGCGGGGCATGGCGAGTGTGGGCGGGGCTTGGTGTGGGAGGGGCGAGAGGGTGTGGGCGGGGCTCCGGGAGGTGTGGGCCAGGCCTGGTGTGGGCAGCGGGGGAGTGGGCGGGGCCGTGGCCCATTGAAACCCTGCAGACTAGGTGGGCACGGGCAGGACTGATGGAGAGGGCCTGGTGCCCGCTCACACGCACAGGTCCTTCCCAACTTCCCCCCTCCCTCTGTCCTGCCCAGCACCACCCCCACCCCAGGTACTGTCCTGTCCTAGAGCTCAGAACCCCGCCCCTGGATGGTCCCAGCTGGGTGTTGGCGCCTAGGTCTTGGCGTCCGCAGGGCTTGATGTGCTGGCCTATGTGGCCAGCATTTGCTGGCCCCAGTAGCTGCCCCCAGGGGCTACAAACCTGCCTAGCCCAGCCCCCAGCATCCAGGCCTTACTCCCTCTCCCCGGCCACGAGCTGGTGTGAGATGGCTGACAGTGGCCAGGATGCTGGGGGTTCCAGGCGCCCCCCAACCCCTACTCAGGAGGGGTGTCTGGGGAAGAACCCCTTATCCCTGCGGCCCACCCCTTGGGGCCCCACCCCTGGGGAGGTGCTTGCTAGCCTTGGGGGTGGGGGAGCCTTGGGCCTGGGTCGCTGAGCTGTGTCTGCTCGCCCCCCAGGCTAGACCAGTCCATCGGGAAGCCATCGCTCTTCATCTCCGTCTCAGGTACGCCCACCCCACCTGCTCCACACCATGCCCTCCTCACTCCCCCGGGAGGGGAGCTTCTAGGACCCAGACAGCGGGCAGCACATCAGGAGGGGGCTGGGGGCTGCAGGTGTCCCAGCCCAGCCTGGGGACCCCAGCTGGACTGTCCTGAAGGGCTCTGAGGCTCCCTGGCCTCGGCCACCTCCTCCAAGCTGGACAAGGGGCCAGGGGCTCTAGAGAAGACTTGGGCAGGTGACCAGCAGGGTGGGGGCAGTTTGAGGTCCTCAGGCTGGAGTTACCCGCCCAGGCCCCAGGGTCCCAGACCCCTGCAGCCTCTGGGGGTGGGGGGGACAGCGGAAACAAGAATCCCCCAGCTAAGGCCCTCCCAGAGGCCCTCTGAGCCTTCCTCAGTTTTAGGCCTCGCAGACCCCTCCCCCCCACCAGCCAGTGGGTGCCCCTGGACACGCGCCCTCACTCCAGCCTCTGCCCACAGAGAAGAGCAAGGACCGCGGGGGCAACAGCATCGGTGCCCGCCTGACCCGGGTGGAGGACAAGGTAGGCGGCGGCCTGCTTGGCCCGGGCGGGTGGGACAGGGGCTACTTCCCCCTGGCACCGTGGATGCCGCCCGCACCCATGTTGGGCCCCTGGGGGCCCCTGCAGAGTCTGACGGTGAAGCGCGTGGGCCATGCTGGGGGCTCAGGGTTCCCCGATGCTCCCCGGAGGCTCATCTCCAGCTGGTGGTGGCGTGTGTCGGTGGGGGCACATCTGTGCCCTGGTGCCCCCAGCCCACCGGCTCCCCCGGCCCGCCACCTGCCCCAGCTCCGCCCCTCCGGGCCGCTTTGAAGTCTCCGCCGGTGCGTGCGCAGGGAGGGCCGTTATCTCGCTGCCGGCCCTCCCGGCTGCAGGCCCTTATCTCAGAGGTGCTGGGAGGCTAAAAATAGAGCAGTTTCGGTTGGGCAGGGGGCGCCGCCCCCACCCCGGCTCCCGGGAGGCTCCCGCTCTGTCCTGCTGCTCTCCTGTCTGTGACGGCCATCAGGTGGCCGGGGACTCGGCCCGTCCACTGCACCTGCCCGTAGCACTGCCCCTCCCATCCGCCCTGGGCTGGGGCAGAGCAGAGGCGGTCAGGGGACCGCAGGGGTCCATGCCTGGGGGGCCCTGGCAGGCCACTTCTCGGGGCATGCTCTGGTTGGGATGGGGATGCCTGGGAGTGACCTCCACAGTCTGTTGGGGAGTGGGGCAGATGCGGCTGCACCCGGCACAGCACCCAGGCCCCAGGAGCCTGTCAGGGAGATGCTGGGGGGAGGCAGGGGATGTGGGGACCCACCCGCCACCTCCCCGCTCACCCTGAGAACCTCCATGTCCAAAGCAGAATGAGTAAGCCTGGGGGACCCACTCTCTGACCCGGGGACCCCGGGGGCCTGGCCATGTTGAGGGCCCATGCGTGAGCAGCCGTTCCCAGCCACAAACGCAGCCCTGGGCCCGCAGGGCAGTGGCCGTCTGAGGAGCTCTGGCCTTGAGGGGTCCCCATAGACAGTGTGTCTGGGGGGGTCCTCACCCCCAGGGCTGCGGCCCTGCACGGGCTCCCCCCCCCCATCTTGGCCAGTCTCACCTCCTGGGACCGGACCCCAGAGAGACACGAGTCTGGTTCGTGCTCCCAGGCCTCACCCAGCGGCCGGAGGGGTGGCACCTGAAGGCACCCTCAGAGCCGGCATCCGCCCAGACCCCCAAGCCTAGGAGCAGCTGCCTAGAGCCGTAAACAGCCAGGCAGCCCTTGCTGGCTGCGGGGGGCGGGCAGGAAATCCCGCCTCCGCCTGCCGGGGGCCCCACGGGGACAGCCCGCCGCCCACAGCCCCGCAAGCCCGGGCCTCTGCCCGGCTGGAGGGCCTCTGCGTGGTCACTTCCTCCAGCCCAGCGGGTCTCCCCCGGGAACAGAGCTGCCCCCCGAGGAGGCTCTGTCCTGCGGTCAGGGCCCGGGCTGTCCCCTGGGGAAGGCCAGGAGCCCAGCTCGGGGCCACCTGGATGGGCCAGGGAGCGCCCACTGCCCCCACCTCTCACGCAAACCCCTCCTCTGCCCTGGCCCGGCCACGGTGGCCACCTCACTCGGGTGCCCCCCATGAGCCGCTGGACTGAGGGGGTCCCGCACTGTTGGTTCCGTCCTAGGTGGGTGGGGCTCCGGGTAGACACAGGGAAGCAGAGTTTCACAGGGGGCCGCATCCGCCCAGCCCCCGCCGGCTCCCCCCGGCCTGTGGGTGAAGGCAGCAGGGTGGGGGGGTCGGCGTTGGGGGGGGCTGATGGCGGGCAGCCCGAGCCCCCTCCCCGCCCCAGGATTCTTAGCCGGGCCCCAGGACTTGCTGTCCAGCTTGTTTTGCAAGCTAAGATTGCGCGGGGGCTGGGAATCCGCTTTCTTCTGCATTCCGGCCGGAAATGCTGGTGCTCAGGGGAAGTGCCGGCCTTCCAGCCCAGCGCAGACGGCGGCGGCGGGGGCGGAATGAGGCCCCCCACCAGCCGTCTCCGTGCCCGGCTCCAGCCTGCTGAGATCAGACCTTTCTCCTCTGGGACCCGGGGTATGCGCGCAGCCGTCTGTGGCATCGGCCGCCCCCAACACCCACCCACCCACCCACCCATCCAGGTTCCCCAAACCCCGCTGAGGGCTGTGCGTGTCTCTTCAGAACTCAGGTCAGGCCAGAGAGCGCACACGGCTGACCTCACACCCCGGTTCGATCCCTGGCATCTCCTAGGGTCCCCCGCGCCCCACCCGGAGTGATCCCTGAGCGCTGCCTGGTGTGGCCCAAATCCCACCCACCCAGATTGATTTTTTGGTGAATCTCTGCGTGGGCATCGTTCTCCCCTCCCCCCCACCCCGAGCCCCCTGTCAGCTGTCAGGGTCACACCTCCGAGCCTCACAGGGTGAGCCGAGAAGGGCACCCCCCCGTGTTCTACAAGATTCCGCGTAGGGCGTGGGCCTGTGCCTCCCCAACACGGCACGGTTGGTGAGGTTCCGTGGCTAGAGACCAGCGTTCGTTGGCTGGAGAGGTTTGTCCTGGTATGCTCAGGACCAACCCTGGCCCTGGAGATGCCTGTGGCTGCTCAGTGGCTCCATGTCTTCGCCCCTCCCCGCCTGGGCCCCCTTATGCACACACGGTGGAGACCAGGGCCGTGCAGGCTTGCTGCTGACCCCCAGGCATCCCCTGGGCGCTGCTGGACACAAGCACACCCGCCTCTGCCTCCTCAGGCCTCGTGCTGAGCCCCAAGCCCGACTGGCTGGGACCCCCTCCACTGGGGCGGCCAGGAACCCCGAGGACCCCAGGAAAGACGGGGAATAAGAACAATACTGCTGATACATTGTCTCACTTTGTAGCGAGGTAGTCCTGAGTGAGTTTTACCTCGCTGGTTGGGTTTCTCTCTCCTGGGTTTCTCTCTCCGTCCTCCTGACGCTGTCAGCCTCCCCTGAGTCTCGCACCCACCCGGTCACCCTATCTGTGTATTTTGGGGGGGTGGGGACGCACCCGGCGGTGCTCAGGGGCTGCTCCTGCCGCTGCATTAAGGAGCCCCTGTGTGGTGCCAGGAATTCAGTCCCGCCTAGGACCTTAGCCCCGGCCCGTTGCCTGCTCTGTGACCTGTGTTTCAGGGGGATGGGCCCAGCCCGGCCCTTCTGGGCTCCCAGCAAGCTCCCGAAGCCCCTGCCCTCGTGCCAGGAGCGTCCGCCTTTCCGTCCAAGGCACCCGCACGTTGAGGGCCGGGGCTGGTCTCTGGACCCCAAGTCCCTCATCCCCACTTCCTGCCGCTGCCGCCGCCACTGCAGCAAACCCAGGGCCACGGCCTGAGCCGGGGACGTGGGGCCGGGGCTGGGCCGGGTGGTGCTTTCGGCATTTACGCACTTGCTTGTCAGCAAGCCCTCAGGGACCTGGGGAGGACGCAGGCCAGGAAGGGTGTGGGGCCGGGCAGGGGCCCCGCGTGGGGCCGGGATCCCAGGCCTTCTGACGCTCGGCCGGTCACGTGCCATGCCGTGTTTATGTCCCTTAGAACAAACTTGTTAAACTTTTTTGTTTATATCTTCTCGGTCCTCCCTGGAACGTTTTGATCTGCGTGGCCGGCTTTGAGCGAGCCGAAGCCCCCTCCCCCGCGGGCACCGTTCCTCAAGCCCTCCGCCGCCGCCGCCGCACTCTGGCCCTTTCAACACCCCCCCCCAAACGTTGTGGGGTTTGATCTCCTAATCCAGCACACGCCGTGTTTGCGTTCCCTCGTCTCAGTGGCCCCAAGATTCTCTCATTGCCTCACAACACCCCTCATTATCTTCAGCCACGTCTTCCCTCCAGGCCGACACTATCGCTCTTATGCTCTTACACAGCAATTTTGTTTATGTATCTGGCAGGGGTGGGGGGGTGCGCCGCAGGAGGTGCTGGGCTGGGCCGAGGAGCCGCTGAGTGGCACGGAGATCAAACCCAGGGGCCCCCCTGGAGGCGGCATGCACCCACGCTGAGCACAGCACCGACTCCGGGACTTGCACGTCCGAGTCTCATTTCCCTTCCCGCGGGGCTGGCCTGAGTCAGGACAATGTGCTTTCGGGGCGTTTGGACGATGGTCCCCAGTGTCCCTCCCTTGGGGCGGCAAGCATCCAGGGGCGGGGGGCCGGGGAGGCTGCCCCTCCCGTCTCTGTCTCCCTAAATTCCTCCGTGGCCTTTGCACGCCCTGATACATGCGGGGGCCTTTTGTGATTTGTCCTGGCGCTGAATGGGATTCCCATCTCGAGGAAACATCGCGTTTTTGTTTCTCCCTTGGCCCGCTGATGGACATGCAGACACTTTCCAGTCCGGGGGCTATTATGGGGGATTGTTGCCGTGGACTTTTATCTGCGGCTCATCTGGGGGTGGGGGGGCGGGGGCACACGTTTCTTTTTCTCGGGGGAGAGTCCCGAGGTGAGAATCTCTGGTCTTTCGGCTGAGTGTCTGTGTCAGTCTCCGAAAAGAAAGGCAGAAGTCTCCGAGCTGCGTCCCGCCCGGGCGCGGGCCGGCCCCTTGTCCCGCCTGGTGCCGTAATGGTATCTCATTGTAGGTTTCATTTGCATTTTCCCAGTCGCTAATGATGTTCAGCGACTTTTCATGTGCTTATTAGACATTCATGGTCTTCTTTGGCAAAATGTTTATTCAACTCTTTGCCCATTTTCTAATTAAGTAGTCCTATTATTGTGTTGCAAGCGTTATTTATATGTTCTGGGTACAAGGCCTTTATCAGATTATATGACTTGCAAATATTTTCTCCCATTCTCTGGCTGGCTTTTCATTTTTCAATCACGCCTTTTAAAACACAAAAGTGTTCATGAACTCGACTATCTCGTCCTAGCCGCCTCCCTCTCTGATGTCTGCAAGAGGCCTCATCCTCAGTCAGGAAATTCTCTCCCCGTTTTTTTTTTTTTCCCCTTCTCTAAGCCTCATAGATTTATCTCCCTTGGACATTCAGGTCTGTGGTTAATTTTGAGCAGATTTTTTGGGGGGTGTGGTACAAGGTAAGCTCCGAGGTTATTGCTTTTGATTTTTTTTTTGGGGGGGGTGGTGGAG